TTGAAGCTCCACATTAAGAAGACAGAGATTCTCACCACTGGGCCAATTGGCAGCACCATGATGGATGGAGAAGAAACTGAGGTTATTCATAGTTACAGCTTGCTTGCCTCCACAATCAACACTGTTGGCACCAGAAGTCAGGAAATCAAAAGAATACTGACATTGGGAAAATCTGTCAGGGAACTTTCCAGAATACTGAGAAACAACATCAGTCTAGAGACTAAGGTACGCCTGATCCAGGCCGTGCTCTTTGCAATTAATTGCTATGCATCAGAGAGCTACAAAAGACTAAGGATGATAGAAGAAGAATTGACGTCTTTGAGTTGTGATGCTGGAGAAGAGTCTTGAACTTACCATGGATCACCAAGAAAACAAATAGGTCTGTCTTGGAGAGGTTAAACCAAGTTTCTCTTTGAAGGCTAGGATATTGAAGCTTAGTCTCACATACTTTGAGCATGTGGCCAGGAGGAACCAATCCTTGGAGAAAGACAACATGCTCAGAAGGGTGGAAAGACAGAGTAGAAATGGAAGACCCCTCATGAGATGGATTGATACCATAATTAGGACAATGGGGTTGGTGTATCTGAGTCAGTGAGACTGACTGAGGACACATCACGCTTCATAGCTGTTTTACATAGGTTGCGATGAGTTGAGATGAAATTAGGCAGTGCTGGTGCCAACCAAAATGCCTCAAGACTGATGATTGAAAAAGGGAAGGAAGGAAAAAAAAAAGAAAAAGGAGAAACCTCCCTTTGAATGATTTATAGTCTCAGAAATGTGATGGAGAGTTGCTTTGATTCAGATTTGACTTGATGGCAATGAGAGTAAGACAAAGTTAGCACAAACAAAATGCCACGCTTTTCCTAAATATCATAATATGTATTCTAATATTCAGTATATATGCTAAACAAATAATTTGAGAAGCTGAATTTATGAAAAAGAATGTACCATCAGGATTAAAGTCGATGACCTGCATTATGTACATAGCACAACCTTTTTTTCAGAAAGTGAAGAAGACTTGAAGCACTTGCTGCAGAAGATTAACGACTACAGTCTTCAATATGGATCGCATCTCAATATCAAGAAAACAAAAATCCTCACATCAGACAAATATGAAATATCATGATAGATGGAGAAAAGAAAAACTTCATTTTACTTGGATCCACAATCAATATCCACGGAAAGAGCAGTGAAGAAATCAAAAGATATGTTGCATTTTGGAAATCTGCTGTCAAGGACCTTTCCAAAGTGCCATGGAGCAATGACCTGAGTTTAAAGACTAAGATATGCTATCATCATTTGTTTTGCATGCATCTAAAAATTGACCAATGAGTAATGATGACAGAAGAATTGATGCCTTTGAATTGTTAGAAAAGAGTACTGAATATACTGGAGACTTATAAAAGAACAAGTAAGTCTGTCTTGGAGAAAGTACAACCAGAGCCCTCCTTGGAGGCGGGGTTGTTGAAACTTCATTTGACATTCTTGGAGGGTCCAGTCCTTAGAAAAAAGTTTCATAGGGGAAAGATGAAGATTACCCCCAAAGGGATGGATGGACACAGTGACTGTAACGATAGGCCAAGATCATGAGTATGGCACAGAATAGGACAAGGTGTCAATCTGATGTCTATAGGATTGCTATGAATCACTGTCAAGTACACCTAATGACAACAACCACACAATTATTATAAAGAGCTCCAATAGCCTGGAATATTATATGTTGGACTGCTAAGGAAAAGTTTTGTGATTAGAATTCACCATGTGGTTTGTAAAGGGTCTTGAATGTACTGTGGGCTGCCCAGAGCACAGGTACATCCATCTTAGAAGAAGAGCAGTCACGATACTGCTTAGCAGCAAGAATAGCGAAACTTTTATTTCATGAACTCTGAGTAGGTTATCAGCAGGGTCTAGTAGTGGAGAAAGACCCTGAGGAAGATAGACTGACACTGTGACTGGAAATAGGGGTTTATGTACAGCAGAGGTGGTGAGGAACTCCCAGGACTGGGCAGGGTTTCGTTCTATTGTATGAGAGTCATTGTGAATCAGAGCTAACTAGACAGCAGCCCACACCAACAAAGAGGTGCAAAGAAGAAAATGAAAGACACTCCAAGAGTAGATTTAGTTATAATGGTTCAGCTGTTTCCATGAGAAAGAATAATTTGTGAGGGAAAAAAAATTATATTATGTGGTTTATAATTCATGTGCCTTTGTATGTTGCCCCCTTCAAGTGAATCTATCCTCAGTTAATTTTATTTTGATCCATCAGTAACATGATAGAATATTAATGTTACCCCTGAAGACCTCTGTGTGTGTATGTGTGTGTATTCTTGTTTATAAGAAGCAGATATTGCAAATGCCCTGGATTAATAAAATGAGCCCAATTGTTTTGAATTTTAATTAATTTGATTACTAGTTCAGCAATACATTGCTGAAAATCATCCAAAAATAGCAAGAATAATATACTGACAGAGGATTGCCGTAGATTTAAACTGATTTTAGAAGAGACCATAGCACCAGGGATATCTTTGTTGATGTTAGATGGAACCTGGCTGAAAGCAGGGAATACCCGAGAAATGTTTGTTTATGTTTTATTGACTGCAAAGGCATTTAACTGTATAAAAAACTACAGCTAAAATGGCGAATAATGAGAATCACAGAACACTTAATTATTCTCATATAAAATGTATACATTGATCAAGAAGCTGTTGTCTGAACAGAGCAACATATCATTTTTGTTATGTGCCATCAAGTCACTTGCAACTCATAGCGACCATATGTACAAAAGCTCTATGCGTTCTTTTATCCTGTGCCAACCTAGCCATCTCAAATGCACTTATTCCCACCTTTCCAGTCACAGAATCGATCCATCTCATCAGAGGTCTTCCTCTCCTTCACCGCCCCTCCACTCTGCCAAACATGATGTCCCTCTCCAAGGACCAGTCCCTCCTTGCCACATGCCCAAAATATGTCAGAAGAAGCTTCAAAATTCTTGACTCCAGGGAACATTCTGGCTTCACCCTCTCCAGGACAAACCTGTTTGTTCTCCTAGCAGTCCATGGTATACTCAACACTCTTCTCCAGAACCACAGCTCAAAAGCATCAATTCTCTTTTTATCAACCCTATTCACTATCCAACTCTCTGATGCATAGCACGTAAATGCGAAGACTATAGCCTGGATCAGGCACACCTTAGTCTCCAGTCTGACATCGTTCCTTTTCAATACTCTTAAGAGGTTCCTCACAGCCAGCTTTCCCAATGCAATTCGTCTCTTGATTTCCTGGCTGCTGTTACCAAGAGTGTTGACTGTGGAGCCAAGTAAATGAAAACTGTTAGCTATCTCAATCGCTTCACCATCCATACTGATGCTGCCAATTGGCCCAGTGGTGAGAATCTTTGTTTTCTTGATGTTGAGCTTCAGTTCATATAGGAGGCTGTAGTCCTTGATCTTCTGCAGCTATATGGTTTAAAATTAAGAAAGGTGTGCATCAGTGATACTCTTTTTAATCCATGTGCTGAGCAACTAATTTGAGAAACTAGACTCTAGAATGTGGCATCAGGATTGGAGGAATACTTACCAATAACCTTCTTTAGCACTGTGGAGAGTACTTTGACAGCAGTGCAACCTGACTTTGACTTCCCAGTGCAACTTGTCTTTTGATTTCCTGACTGCTGGTGCCAAGGGTGTTGATCGTGGACCTAATCAAGATGAATTCATTAATAACTTCATTTTATTTCTCCATTTATCATAATGCTGCCTATTGGCCCAGCGATGAAGATTTTGTTTTCTTAATGTTGAGATGCAAACCACGTTATCATGTTTTAATAAAAGAAAAAAAATTGCCTGGTTCCTAATCTATTATGTGGATACTCTATTTTAATAAATATTTCTAATTTACATTAAAAAAAGAATTCACCATGTGTTCCCATTGGAGAAAGATGCGCTGTATCCTTCTGTAGAGATTATAGCATCCAAAACTCATGAAGAGTCACCATGAGTCAGAACCAACTTAACATCAGTGGGTTGACTTGATTGGTATTCTATAGATCACTTACTTTAATGAAAACAAATGAGGATCATTAAAAAAATTGTTATAGGTTCTTTTCATGCTAATTTTAGATCTACCTGATCTTCACCTTTTAAAAACATTGAATCCTTTCTTTTATATTTTATGTTTCTTTTACATCTTTTCAAGGTCATTTTAAAATGTCATTATATTTAAACAGTATCTGAATCTCAATCAGGATATAGTGAATATATACATATGTGTTTGTGCACATGACTATCTGAGAATATTAATTAATATTTGATAAGCCTTCTTTCTACTTGTGGGAGTTATATATCTTTCACTTATTTTCCTATTTGTACATGTTTTGTTTTTTGGGGTATTTTTGCATGTCATTGAGTGAGAACCAGCTTACAACTGACCCTCTTGTGGGTTTTCAGAGGCAGTAAATCATATGGGAGGAGACTGCTCATCCATCTTTGGCTGGGCAGTGAAGTCAAACCATGATTTGTACATAAAATCCTATATGTACTTATTTTTTTTCATCACTATAATAATCAAAGATTACTTCCATATTTGAAAAAAATAGCAAAATTAGTCTCTCTTAATTTTTACAAATTTGTATTTGAAATTAATTTAATGATATACAGTCAGAAGCCCTAGGAATGAATTTCCAATGGTTTTGTTGACTCTCAATATTTTAATGACTAAAATAAGAGTAAACATACTATATTGTGTATGGAGCCTTACAAATTATACTAATTAGGGAAAATTATATCCTGAAACAGTGATAATCATTGAGTCTTATCACTAAGTATGCAATTGACCCATTTTGTAATTTGTGTAAAAATTCTCATTTTCAGACACTAAATGAAGGAAAATATATAGCAAGGAAATTGTTCCTAAATCGTTCAGTGATAACATTGAGCAGCATCTTGGGAAATTCTGCCCTGGACATGCAGCATTTTAATTTTTCTTTGTTTCCTTCTTGTTAGGAACCTTTCCCTGAAATTAACAAGAGATCTTGATCAGGAAGCCAGGTGTTCACATCTCGGCCGCATGCCCAGCAGTCCATCTTCAGATTGGCCGCTACAAGGTGTGGAAGAAAATGGAGGTATAGATTCCCTGCCTTTCAGACTGATGTTACAAGACTGTACTGCAGTGAAGACATTATTACTGAAGATGAAGAGAGTCCTTCAAGAGGTAATGGTTTACACTAATAGTAATGCTTGCATTGCTTTTAGACAGTGAATCTGCAGACCTGAGTCGAATCATCTCAGTCAGTCACTACCTACCTATTTAGCATTGTAAAGTGCCCGGTTCTTAGAGCATAACTATTTTCATATGTCAAAGGAAATATATGGAGTTTTGGGTTATAAGATATTCTTCAGCTCTAAAGTTCTAAGAACTTATGAAAGAATTTTAAAAAGAATACATCGAACCATGTCTGGATAGAATTACGTTAGGTGAAATGGGCGTCAGGGATAAAGTTATGCTTATATGTTATTATAAAGCAAGTGAGAGATCTGTTGAAGGGATTTAACTTTAATGCTATGTTTTTTTTATTTATATGGTGTACAGAAAAGTTACTTAGCTTGGTTGTTCATCTTTTTATGTTCTCAATATTATTGAATCCACTGAGAAATTAATTTGAATATTGGACTTCTGTCAGATGATGGGTTACTTGCACAATGAGATTCTTTCATGTTTTTCTTCAAGAATAGCCATTTTTATGATTTATATCTGTTATTATTTGATTTTAAGAATTTTATTTTTATGGAGATTTCTAAAAAAGGGTATATTCTCATTTTCTTGTTGCATATGTAAAACCAAATCCATAGCCACTGAGCTGATTCTGACCATAGCAACCCTTTAAGACAGAGTAAAATTACCCATATGGTTTTCCTAAGGCTGTAAGTCATTATACTAGAAGACTTTCATCTTTTCTCTTGTTGAGGGACTGTTGGCTTCTAACTGCCAACGTTTCAAAGAGGTACACTCAGAACTCAGGACAGTGGTCTGAGATTTCTGACTCCAGATCCAATGAAGTTTTATAATATTCTTTCAGTAGATTTCCTAAAATGAATTAAAATCAACCATCTCCTCAAAAGGAGACCGACAAAGCAGTCACCATCTGTTAAGATTTGAAACTTTTATTTGAATGAAGGTTTGCCAGCAGTCAGAATCATCATGCTGGCAGTGGGCATGGCATCAGGATGGCAAAGAGTTTGAGAAGTGGGAAATATTGCTGTTTAGAATGAATAGTTGTTATGTGTCCTCAAGTCTGAATTGACTCATAGCTGATGCTCCAGGTGACCTGTTAAAAGTTGTAAATGGCATGGGAGGAGACTGACCATTCTAAGGTTAGGAACCCTGTGCAATAACCATTTGCAAATCCAGGGGCCCCAGAAAACAGGAAAAAGTTTGTTTTAGAATCAACTCTGACTCATAGTGATTTTATCTGTCGGTCAAGGTTTCCAAGGTTGAATCATTAGGGAAATCAAGTGCTATCTCTTTCTACCTTGAAAGGCCGGTAAGTTAAACATTGACCTTTTGCTTGACAACAAAACACTGTGCCATCAGGCCTTCCAAAAAATATGTATTAATGAAAATATTATTGATAGGATTACTCATTTGGAGACCAAATAAGATTATTAATCAAGGAAAGCAAAAAGAGAGTTTTGTGTAAGTTAATTATATTCACGCTACAAAGATTCTCACTGCTGGGCCAATTGGCAGCATTAGGATGGATGTTGAAGAGATTGAGATTGTTGACAGCTTTAGTTTGCTTGGCTTCATAGTCAACAGTCTTGGCACCAGCAGCCAGGAAATGAAAAGACATGTTGCAATGGAAAGTCTGCTGTTAGGAACCTCTCCAAAGTACTGAAGATCAATGGTGTCTCTCTGGAGTCTAAGGTGTGTCTGATACAGGTCATGGTCTTTGCAATCACTTGTTGTGTGTCAGAGTTGGGCAATGACCAGGGAGGATAGAAGGAGAATTGATGCCTTTGAGCTGTGGTGCTGGAGAAGAGTATTAAATATACTGTGGACTGCTCAGAGAATGAACAGGCTTGTCCTGGAAAGAGTTAAACCAGGCTGCTCCTTGGAGGCAAGGATTCTGAAGCTTTGTCTGACATACTTTGGACATGTTGCAAGGAAGGACCAATCCTTGGAGAAGTATGTCATGCTTGGGAGGGTGAGGGGACATTCAGGAGAGGAAGACCCTTTATGAGATGGATTGATTCAGTGACTGAGTTAATCAGGGTGAGTGTGTTGGAGACAGTGATATTGGCACAGGATAGAGTAGGGTTTAGGGCTGTTGTACTTTGGGTCACTATGAGTCACAGGGAACTCGATGACACATAACAACAGCATCAACAACAACTTGTTTTGTTGTATATTTTTAAGAAACTTATATATAATTTAATAGTTTTTAAGAAAATTTGTGAAACATTACATTAAATAAAAACAAGTCCCCCTTAAGTGTTCCTACTCTGTGACTGGCCAGTAATTCCTGTCCAGTAATTCCAACTCCCCATGACCTTTTTTGACCCTTTAACTTGATGCCTGTGAATGTTAAAGAAATATTCTGGCTATTTCTTTTTATTTCTTTGCTATGGAATGTACTGCAAGACATTTATGACATGAAATTAAAATAGAGTAGAGTGAAGTTGAGCAAGAATATGTCTTATTGACCAGAGAATTCTTTCCTGTTAGATACAGTTTATTATCAGCTAGCGATGTGTACTATTACTTTAATTGTTTACAAGAAGAAAAAACATACACACCATACCTACAACCCACAGTTCTAATGAGAAATGTCACCATTTCTGGGACAATCTGCCATTTGTGTTATAATCAGATTCAGTAATTAATCAAATAAGCCCTAATATGGTTTTGTTATGCATGTCTAACTCTCAATTTTCTTCACAAATCAAGCATTAATGTCTCGATTGTAATACAGCTCACATACTTTCACATCATTCAGTGGACTAATTCTGGAACGAAAAATTTCAGGCTGCAACATAGAAGATCTACAGCAGATGGCACTCTGCATGGTCCCAAGGGGGCACTTAGAGTGTACTTCACTTCAGGCGGGTCAGGGAGAGAGACAGTGGTGAGCCACTTAAGCAAACCGCACGGTGTAAAACCTGCAGTGGTGAGCCTCTGAGACCTATTTTTACTGAAATGGTATTTTGTTTTGGTTCAAAAGTAAAAATGAAAGGTTTACTTAACTACAGAGATAATGACGATTTATAATCTGAGTAAATAAAAAATGCTTTTAAAAAAATGCTTTTATGAGATGACAAATTTAAAAATCACATGTTTTCATATAAGCAAAGTGCTTTATTTTTCAGTGACTTATTTAGGTGGGTAGAAACTATTTCTTAAATATATCACTTTACTTTGATGGGGAAACCTTGAGGAAATCCACTATCATCTTTATTGTAGGTTAAATTTGCTAATTGAAGAACAGATGTTTATAATTTTAAATATTATCGTTTTCAATAGAAAAACAAGCTATATTTGCTTTGTTTTATTTTAAATAAGAATCACTCACTCATTGCCGTCAAGTTGATACTGACTCATAGCTGACCCTCTAGTGGGTATTCAGAGGGTGTAAATCATACTGGAGACGGTTACCTGCCTTCTTCTGTGGAGTAGCTTGTGGACAGTAATCACCTCGCCTCTGGGTTGGTAGTACATTTTCTTACCCACTAGGCTACCAGAACCCCCTTAAATAACATTTCCTATTATTAAATAATATATTAATAAGAAATCTTGTACTGTTGTGTTATGCTTATGGATGATGAACGTAGAAGAGAAAAGAAGAATTGATTCCTTTGAATTGTGTTGACCAACAATATTTACTATAATATGAATTCTTCCTACCTTGGAAGAAATCTGGTTAGATTGCTCCATTGAAGCAAAGACTACAAAACTGTTTTAAGTTCTTTGACCAAGCTTTCAGAAAGGGCTAGTCCCTGGCGAAAAACACTATGCTTGGTAAAATATGTTGTTATGTGCTGTCGAATTGCCTACAACTCATAACGATCCTATGTTTAATAGTTCTGAAGCCTGCTCTTTCTTGAGCCAATTTCATTGTCTCTGACACACTTACCCCCATTATCCCAGTCACTGAATCAATCCATCTCATCCAGGGTCTTCTTTTGTGCTGGTTCTCCACCCTACCAAGCATGACGTCCCTTTTCAGGAACTGATCCTTCCTGGCAACATGTCCAAAGTATGTAAAACAAAGCTTCAAAAACCTTGTCTCCAAGGAGCACACTGGTTTTACCCTCTCTGGGACAAACCTGTTTGTTTTCTTAGCAGTCCATGGTATACTCAATACTCTTCTCCAACCCCACAACACAAAGGCATACATTTTTCCTCTGTGAACCTTAGTCATTGTCCAGCTTTCCATTACATAGCAAGTAATTGTGAATACCAAGGCTTGTCTCAGGTGCACCTTAGTCTCTAGACTGACATTGTTGTTTTCCAGTACCTTGGAGAGGTCCCTGGCAGTATATTTTCTCAGTGCAACTCGTCTTTTCATTTACTGGCTTCTGGTACCAAAAGTGTTGATTGTGGAGTCAAGTAAGTTGAGATTGTTAACAACTTCAGTCTTTTCACTGTCTATCATGATGCTGCCCAGCGGTGAGAATCTTTGATTTCTTGAGGTTGAGCTTCAATCTATATTAAAGGCTGCAGTCCTTGATCTTCTGCAGCAAATGCCTCAGGTCCTCCTCATTTTCAGCAAACAAGGTTCTGTCATCTGCATACAGATTGTTGATAAGTCTTTCTCTAATCCTGATGCCACATTCTTCCTCATCAAGCCCAGCCTCCAGGATGATATGGTAAAATTTAGAGATGATCAATGGAATGCGCTGATACAATGACTGCAACAATAGGCTGAAGCAGAGTAATGTTTGTGAGGATGGTGAAGGATAACTTAACAAAACACACAGACATCCAGTTAGAAGCAATTCAAAGCTGACTTTCCAGTTTTTAAGACTATCACTTACATGAGAGAAGATTTTTCCTTATTCCTTCTCCTCATTGCTGGTGAGTTCAACCATCAGTAAAATGTCATCTCTGATTTAGGTGTGCAGTTCTCTATGGACTGACAACATGACCACAGGACAAGGTTTTTGTTCTTTCTTCATAGGGTCATTATGACTTATAGGTGACTTGTCAGCACG